TTTTTTTTTTTTTTTTTTTTTTTTTTTTGCATTTTAAACGATTCATTAACCAGCATAATGTAATACGTCACATGCCAGGTTAAATTCCATTTTAACAAAGCAGTGTGTGCTGCCTTCCAGAAATGTTGCAAAACACCAGTAGTAACAAGTTAAGTATTAACCAAGATAAGACATCATGGGGCTACAAAAATAAGAACCAGTTTTAGGTCTTTGCTTAGGTTGCCATTAAAAATGTCATATGTAATTTTCTTGATGCATTGGTCTCAATTTAACTGATCTTAAAATAACACAGCTCTTTTCTCTCTTTCCAGAATATGTCAGAGTACGAGCTGAACCGTTTCAAAACAATGCACCAGCCGTAAGTATCGCTTTCTTTTTTGCATCTCCATGAAATGTCTAATGCTGTGTTGTATGCTGCCAGTTTCACTGATAAAAAATAAGGAAGAATGGGATTTGTAGCCTATTTGCACTAAGGACATGGATGACTGGGGTGGCACTTGCCCGGGACAGAGACCCTGGCAGGTTTACAAGAACCACGCTCGGGGGCAGTGTCTTTGGTAGCAGCTCCAGCACATGGGCTCTCTCGGAACAGTCAGGGACAAGCTTGACACATGGAAAAGCACAAGCTCATTCTCCTGGAGTTCAGAAGCTATTCTGCTGCAGAGCACATGGGGCCACATTTTCAGAATTGGTTCATCTGCTGCATAGGGGCCAGTTTAAGTGATCAGATTATCAATGTGCCGTGTTGAATATCTGAATGCAAATGTTATTGCAAAATCACTGGATTATGAGGCTTTTGAGAGGTAAAAAATCAGCCCTGTGAGGCGGCAAGGATATTGCAGAAAGGGCATCACAGATTGCCAAATATTGCAGACCACAGCCAAAACTCAAACTGCTCACCCCATCACCTTCAGACGCTATGCAGTTAAGAAAGGTCTAACCCCAAACCACTGAAGTCTCTGCTGTCAATTCAGAATATCTTCTCTAATATTGCCTGACTCAAAACTTCAACAATAAAGTTTAAAAAGTTAAAAAGTCCAAGTTGCAAATCTTCCTCAAGGCAGTTCTTTCTGTGAGGCCATAAAATCAGAAAGAATTCAGTTTAGTATGAGGTGGATTTCTCTACTTGACCCAACAGCTTTTATTAGTCCATGTAAGACATTTTTTTCCTAACTGAGAAAACATGAAATGTATTTACCACAACATTTTTTTTTCAAATCCCACACAATTCATAAAAAGTTGAAAGAACTTAGGAACTTGAGGGTCATTTTACACATCGAAATCATATTCCTATTGATAATAATTTGATCAGAGTGTAAGTTAATATTCTCCTAGGTTCATTTTAATAATTAACTAGATGAATAAGTCAAATGCCAAAGGAGTTTCCTGCAGAGTAATTAAGTCTAATGGGACCTCATTTTGACAGGAACTATAGAGAGCATGAATATGAAGTTAAGCAGGGATGTGACCTTTCTTTCTATGATATATATGAATCTGACCTAGTACACATAGTTAGTTAGAAGTCTACTGATTTGCAGCCAGGAGTTGGGCTTCTACTGATATGAACATTTAGTCCTTGTATTCTCATATGGTAGTCTGGACTAGTAAAAGACTTTCTAATAGGAATTCTGTGATTCTGTAATACGAACTCTGTAATTTTGCAAAAGGAATTTTGCTATCAAGTAGGAAAAAAGGACAGACTAGAGCCAGTCCAAAGAAATAAACTCTTAAAACGCAGAGTGTGTATCTCAGCTCCCCCACACCAACTGTTTCTCTCTAAGGTTTCTATTATATTTTGCTACTGCCAAAATTTCCCAGGTGTCCAGCACTCAAATGGTTTGCATGGTTTAACTGGAGAAGGCCTACACTGATCCACCCAGGCCAGGTGATCAGGCCTGTGCCAGCCTGTAGGCACAGCAGGTTGTCCGCATTGGATCGGAGCGCTAAGAACAGATCAAAAGCAATATGGCAATTGCCAGGTAAGGTGAGAGCAGCTGTCAAAGTCTTTCTGCTTGTTAGGTAGAACATGTTGTGTTTCACGAGTGAGAACCAGAATAGGAAAGGCAAAGAGTTTGGGAGGAGATGCCTCAGGGTGAGTAACTTTTCCCTAAGGAGATGCATGAAGAATCTTCTACAACAGGCAGGGAATTTGTCAGGAGAAAATGTAGGATTAGTTAGTAGGATGTGGACATCCTGTAGACAGTGTAGAAAGCTATAATAGTTTGTGAACTAAGCCATGTGTTTGCTCTACCTTCCGCTGGAAGATCCCACAGCCCCAGGTATGGCCATGCCACCTTGGCTCCTGCACTGCACAGGCTCACACCCTCTGTGGACAACACTGCTCTTTTTCACTCTGCATCTCAGGCAAGACAGGAACATTCTTCCCTGATATCCACACAAAATTCAGGAGCACTCAGGAGGAAGATATCAAAATCAACCTCATACTACAGCAATTTCAAATACTGGAACATAGGCACTTTCCAGACATGCTGTCTTGGTATCTTTATTTAATATTGTACTAAGCTGTGCAAATAAGACTGGAATTTACAACTATATGCAGCTAATCTGACATATAAGCTGTAATCAAATTATATGCACTCATAATTTGGAAGCACATCTCAAAAAAGAGACATAATTACAGCTCAGTCTCCTTTGCATAAGTAGTTCAAGACTTTAGTATGAGATGTTTATGCAGAAATTATTTCACAACACTTTCAGCTTACACAAGTTTCACTTTCCCAGGGACCATGAAATTGAAAGGCCTTCTTTATAGCTAATACAATTAGAAATGCCTCACAAACCAAACTTGAAAGCCCATGCGCTTTAGGGACTGCTTTCCAAAATCAAAACTGGAATCTTTCACTACCAAATATGTTCTTTCTACTATATGTGTGACATCAGAAACCTGTTCTGGCTGTGACAGATTATCTGCTAAAGAGGAAATCTACACCCACAGACAAGATACCAAGTGTCAGGTCTTGCATCTGTCATTTGTCTATGGAATGTCTATGGAATGTCTGTGTGACATGCACTTATGGAAGATGCTAGATAATAGGTGAATTGTGACAGAAATGCATAATTATAAGCTTTGTTTAATTATGGTGCTGGCAGCATTTTAATTCCTTGTCTTGAAATAAACATCTACCACTTCTTGCTGCTGCGAAAAGCAGCAAGAAGTTTGTTTTGCCAGAATTTACAGTATATGCAGAAAAAAATGCTCTTCATAAATCAAGTAAATGTGTAGTTATGACTGTTTTCTAAATTTATTTCTATTTTTTCTAATTTTTTGATATGATAACTCTCAGTTGAAATTTTTCAAGCAACACAGTTTGCTTTTCCAGAGACATATGAATAAATTCTGAATTGTAAGAGCCATTCATATGAGAAAAGCATCTTTGTAATGTTGGGATGTTCCACTTGAAATGTATGCACTCGTATAATTCAAACTGCTGGAGCTAGAAACATTATACATTAACTTATTTTTCATCTTTCTCCCTCCACTCGCTTTTTTCTTTTATTCCTTCATTAAGGAAAGCAATCTTAAAAAGGAGAGTGGAAAATTCACTCTTCAGCATTTCTACAGCTATCAACATTTAAATGCCACTCTTATTCCAGGCCAATATATCAGGTGTTAAGGACTGGAACCGTCTTTGTAGCTGGCCAGGGGAGAGTTTTTAAGGCAAAATATTATCGAGTGAAGTTTGATCGATACAATGATTTCATCTTCAGAATGGAAATATTAGTATTTCTCCATCACCAGAAAAGATATGAAGTTATTTTCCCAAATACTACATAAAGCCATAAAACTGTACTGTAAATTGAAGCCACAAAGTTGCTTTCCAAGGTTCCACTCGGGAACTTTGAGGCCACAGGGATATGGGAGATGCACTGAGGAGAGCAGAGTATCATGGTGGTTATTGGCCAAGCAACAGCTCATGGCACCACTGCCAGCAGCCACTATAGGCTTGGAAGCCACCAGAATGACAACAGGTCAAGGGTAGAGAGGCGGCCACAAGTTGAATCAATTCTATCCCAGTCCTGACTGAGATTTACACACATCCTTTCACGCATTTTTAGCTCATTCTCCAGGTACCTAGTTGGAATGATTGTTCCAGTTATTTGCAAGTAGGATACACATCTCCCGTTACATTTAAATAAAGCACAAAATTAAGTGCATAAACATTAAAGCAATAGTTCAACTGAAGAATCAAACCAAGCAAAAGTTAGGAAATAAAATAACTAGCTGAGGGACTGTAATGTCATTCAGATTTCAAATGCTGAGAGTTTTCTCAATCGTGTTTTGATGATGGAGCTTTGTGGAGATGCTATTAGAGATGCTCCTAGTTAATAAATGTAGGGTATGCGATGTGACAATTTCAGTTTCACTATGAGATATTTTAATTCCTGACTTCTCTGCTTAACGTCTCTGCACTATTTTCTCTAACCAAAGAGTTTAATATCATGGGACTAGTACTACAGAAAGCAGTGGGGTTTCCGTGAGGACTTGCACCTTAGCAAGACGACCGTTCTGGAGCGTTTGCTCTCTCTGTCCGTGAGGTGCAGAGGCACCAAAATCTTGTGCCATTTTACCCCAGCAAAGGTTCCAAGCTGAAAAAGTAGTAGTAACATATGTCTTCTGTCCAAATATTTAGCAGGCAGCAAAGGTTTGCCCCTCTCATTAGGATATTCCTTAATAGATTTTAAATTATCCTGCTACCTTTAAATACCACTGCTGACTCAGGAAGATGGTTTTATAAGTTGAAATTTGCTGATTTTTCTCCTTGCTTTTCTTAGGTCTCGGTATAGCTGAAATGCCACTTTAAAAATCTCAACTTATTCAGAAACTTGAAAAAGGCCAGCACAGCAAGTTTGGAAGAACTCGCTTAATACAGCAACCTTCCAAGTAATAGAAATTATACCTTATAGAGACCAAAAGAGATTTCCAGTACCTAACCACTCTAGTGACATAGAAATGTATAATGGGGCACCTTTTTTGTCAGCAATATACACTCCAAATAAAATATATTTTTATATGAATTTTACTTTAAAACACACTCTTATATAGTATTTAATCCTTTTTAGCATGAGAAGGCAAAATCCCACCTGTGAGAAAAACCTACTCAGGCATCAAATATTTACAGAGGCAGTCATTACCCGCTGATTAGAATTAATTTGGGATATTCTCCAGTTCGCCAGAAAACCTAGGGAATATCTGCTTGGCTCCATCTTGCCTCCTCTTGTAGCAGCAGAGAAATTATACTCCTCCTGCAGCAGGAAGGGGGCAACAGACACTGTTTTTATAGCAGCTTCCTACACACCCTGCCATTAGCAACTGAGATTTTTGCATCATATGAGTTA